ACCTGACTCTGATCTGATGGATTTCCAACAGGTTTGATTTAATAGATCTGCGGCTTTGTAAAATTAACATAATTTGACTGATTTAAAAAAAAATACTAAGAATTTACATTAAGTGAGGGATGAGCCAGTCCTCCAGTTTCCTTGCCAGGGGATAGAAAACAAGAAATCCCTTTGCCAAAAATGGTCAATATTTTTTGAAATTTCATCCTGAAAAATGGAAAACCTGAAAGCTTTTAGAAACTTCCCCAAGATCTGAATGAAAATAAGGGGAGCCCTGTAACCCAAAGCAGCCCCTAGCACAGTGATGGGAACACATGTACAGGAGTTGGGTTATTCTCATAAAAATCCAGGCATGGAAATTTTCATAGTGTGAATTATGACCCTGAACTTCCTTCCCATGGGAATTTTGACCACAAATTCTAATCAGGAATTTCCTTAACTAACCTGAACTTGTCTCCACTGAGAGTTCTCATTTCAGAAAATTGCTCCTTCTGACCAAAAATATCTTGCTTAAATTTTTCCAGACAGATTTATTCTACACACACGATTACTCAGAAGTCATATCATATGACACATCTTAGCAAAGGCTAATTTAAAGAAAAAAGAGTCTTTTGCACAAGTCAGACTGCCCCAGGTTAATCTAAAACATGACTATATACTGATTTTATTAAACTAATTCAAAGGACTGAGCAGACTTTTTCATTGCAGCTTAAAACAGCTCAATTTTGTTCTGTTTTAATATGATTAGGAATTTGCCACATTTAAATAGAAATCAGAGCACTGAAACAGGGTAACGAGATTGGTGCTAGCCTGGGTGAAGATAAGGCTGATTCAGTCAATGCTGATAACAGCTAAGGGTCGTCTGTGTCCTTTCTGAAACGCCTTCCAGGATTAAGACCTGCATGTGTTGGGAAGGATGTTAATATTCATTTAGTATGAATTTTAACACACAACTAATATAATAGTAAACAAAATGCAAATCAGTAAAATTAAACTGGAAAGACATCCATATTCCCATTAAGAAAAATTAATTTATATACATTTTTTTAAACTCTAGGTGGGATCCCATGTTTCCAGTAAAACCCTTTCTCCTCCAGCTAATCCTACCTGGCATGATGGGTTGAAATATCAATGCCGGGCTCATTCTATAAATTACTGTCTTTGAAGAGAAGCTTTTGGGTCTGCTTCAAATTCATCTAAAGTACCCAGAAATCCTCCATCGATTTCAACAGCTTTGGCTCAAGCCTTTAATGCCCTGTAGCTAGCCTTACAACATGGGGTTTTTGTTGACAAGCCATCTAACAAAAGTCACCATGCAATTCCCAAACAAATGTGCTGAAATAGAGTCAGAGAAAAAATAACAAAAATGTTGATAAAATAACAACAAAAAAAAAAGTCACAAGAAATATTTGTTATCCTTATTTATTTAATAAAGAAACATAATAAACTTGAATTTTTCCAGGTACAAACAGCTTAATATGTCCTATGATATTGGCTGATATTTTCCTTGCTCTTTTCGTAGCTTGAGTGATTCATGTGGTAGCCTTTATTGAACAAATCAACAGAAAAATGGTAGCACTCACCATGCTTATAGACAGTGTGGGCCAACTATTGAGTTTGTGTCTTTAACTAAATCACTGCACCAGGAGGTTGTATCATTGCTGGATTTGGATCGGCATCTCCATTAATAAAGATCTGCAAGTGAGGTTATTTGAAGTTTTTGAGGGGAGTTCTGCATACCATACAAAGATACCATTCCCTCTTCAGCTCTAAAGAAATGTGCCACAAAACAATAGAAAACCCAATAGAAACCCAACCTTCCAGTTACAAAGGTTCTGAAAGTAATTTACAATTCCATTTTAGAAAGTTGCACTGTAAACACCTATAGTTAAGACCCTCTTTCAGACTTTTTTGCGTTATGATTTTTTTTTTTTTTACTGGTTTTGGGTAGAAGACAGAACCATTTGTAATTGTGTCAGTACTATAGAGTCTCACAGCAATGACAATAAAATGTTCAACGCAAGGGTGAAATGACTGGAGGAAGAGCTCGTCTCTAATATAATCAGTGACCAGCTGATTGTCCCATTACATCCCGTTCATTACTGGGCCTGACTCTTGATAAGAATATAATTTGAATATTTTCTAATATAAGTGGCAAATAATCAAAATATTTTTAAAGCAGCATGACCTGCTGAGTGCAGGCTGGCTTTTTCCTTGGGTTTTGAACAGTTTATATTCCATGTGAAAAATAACATTAGAAATGCTCCTTTTTTCTTAGTATTTTTCCCTCTTTTTTTTTTTTTTTATTCTAAAGCTTTGAAAGGAAAATAATTTTACCAGTGGTCAGCCAACGAATGCTTGTTCAGCAAGTAATGAATGTACTATTTTCTAATTGAACAGTTTCTTTATAGGCAGCAGCTCATTGCTAATGATCAATACATCCCATTGAGAAGAAAACGTTTTAATCAGTAAGTCGTGTCCTCGGAGTGTCAGCCACTCTATAAACTCACAAGATACATATATATGTATAGATATAGGTATGTGTGTGTATATATATATATGCATATAAATATAAAAATCGCATACTCTTTCTGGGTGATATGTACAGTCAGAATAACATTACAGCATAAATACACAGGGAATCTGTATAAAGTTTCTCTAATTTGAGAAGCCTTGAGAAATTTTGGTTTGGGGGGGGGGGTAGGGGAGGGCAGGGAGGAAAGAATAAAGAGTGTTTTCACTTTAAGGAACGACAAGTAGTTCCCTTAAGTTAGAATCTAATTACATACAAGATTTAAAGGCAACAAAATCGCCAGAGGAACAGCCCTATGTTATACACCATAGACATGGGGTTAAAAGGGCAAGAGAGCATGATTATAATAATACTTATGTAGTACGTTTCATTCCCTTATAGCACTTTGCAACCAGAAAGTCTTACAACACCCCTGTGAGGTAGGTAAGTATTATTATCCCCATTTTACAGATGGGTAAACTGAGGCACAGATAGGTTAAATTATTTGCCTAAAAATCATGTAGTAAGAATCAGGAATAGACCCCAGAAATCCTGATGGCAAATCCTCTGAATTAACCGATAGACCACTCTCAAGTGAATGCCTGAGACACCTCTCAATGAATGGAGAGAATATATTAGCCCATATTTACGCAGATACATCATCATGCTTTTGACATGTTGTCTCTACATATTCTGACTTGTTTAGAGGACAGATAAAAATGGCCATAGATAAACTTGACTGTAACATGTCACTTTAATTCTGGTTGCCAACTCCATGTGGATTTTGACTCCTTTACAACCTGGGATGTAACTAAATGTCAATGACAATACACCTTAAATACATTCTTGATATCTTTGCTTCTCCGAGGTGGAAAGCACAATTGCTCTTCCTTAAAGTGCAATGGCTCGTTACAGAAATCTCAAGATTTTCCATTAAGTCCAACCAAACCCAAGTACAATCAGTCTGAAGATGAAAAAGAAAGAACTTGTCTGTAATGATGGGCTTGTGTCTATATTCCATAAATACCTTTTCACATTCTATTGAGGCTGAAAGTTTAATAATAAATAATAATCTATGTTAGCACATAAACCCTCTAATACTTTTCTACAGCCACACGTCCACTTCTCACCCCATTGTCATTTCTTTGGCCTGAAGCTGATGAACACATCATCTGTAAATAGTCCTTTGCCTACAGGAATGAGGATATATCTATTTTCTATTAGATTCTTTTTATTAGTTCCTGTATTTATTGTCCTGCCCCAACAATCTAACTGTAACATCCGAGAAAATGAAAGATGGGCACTGAGTAGAAAGGATTCAAAACCTCAAAGTTTACGTACAGATCCAGAGGCAATTCCCCTCCCACCTTCTTGATCACACTGTCGCAGCCGTTCTACACAGTCCAATTGGTGTTGGTTTTATTACTATCTTTGTAATTGTTATTAGTAGTAGTAGTACTTTTGGAGCAATATCGATGCACAGAGTTTCCCATAAGGCTGCTTAGCTCTGTATTCCTGGGGAAAATGTAACTTATCCCACTACCTTAACAGAACCTTTGCCAGCGTAGATGGTGCTTTGGAGCACAACGCACAAACGTGATGCACTACTTCTAGGGCGAGTTTGATTGCAGTATTCAAAGCAGATTCTTGAAACATACTAAAAAATTAGTGCTTTTATTAACAGTTTTACAAACAGAATCCATTACTGTCTAGTTTCCTGAAGGATAGAACAAGTCATTTCTCTCATTATTTTGACATCATTTCCTTCTCTTTTTTTTTTTTTTTTTTGTATGTCTGCTGATGAGCAGTTGCAAGTCCCAAGAGGGAGGGCTTAATGTAATAAACCATTAAAATGTTGTTAATTTGATAGTTTACTTTGCAACGACTTTCCTCTTGAAATGATGGGGATCCCACAAGTTCCTATTACCTTGACTCAGAGTTCATCATGAAGAGTGTAAGGATCATTAATCTCCATGGAAAAAGAGACTTTTTTTTTTTAAGTAAAAAAATATCAAATATAATAAATTTATGAAAGACCATTCACAACATATACAGTAAGTGTTACATTTTGCTACAGCAGCTGTGATATTTTTTTTTTTTCTTTTTAGAATGCAAGGTCATACATTGCTGTAAGTAAACACACTAATATGAGTAAGACCTTAAATGAATGTATACAGCCAGGCTTTATCTGTGGATAGATATACATTGTGTTTACTGTTTTACAGTCTAGCATATTCTTATTCACACCATTGATATAACAGCTATGACCCTGCAAAGATTCTTCCTGTGCATATATAAATATAAATATTGAGCCAAGTCAAAAAGAGCAGGGTCAAAGGTTATATGACTTATTAGACTCCTGTAGTTAAGGGTAAAAACTCCATTGTTTCTTTTGCAACTAATTTTTAATAAGAAGGCTGCTTCAATCATTGTGTAGTTACAGCATTACATTCTGTAAACAATATTTTAAAGCATTCTAAACAAACATTTAAACAATTGATTCTTTATCCTTGTCCGGTGAGAGAAGACAATCTATAGCCTCATCGCTTTTGCTTGAGTCCGTCATCTTCAGCTGGAGATTATCACTCGTACCTCTGGTGACACTGTCGTAGGATGGAGGGAAAGATGTGGAGGACAGAGTTTCTGATTTGTCTATTGGCCTGCCGTAGTTTTCGTTCATCATGAACGCAATAAGACCCTCCTTCTCAGGTGCATCGTCCTCAAGGATGCTGCCGTCAAAAGTTCTGTGCCGGTACAAGTAAGATGCCTGCTTCATGGAGCGCCGAAACAAATGTCTCCTGTAGGCCCGCTGGATGACAATGGCGGAGACCTCTTCTTGTTTCCGTCTGAGTGTTGTTGTAATTGGTTCATAAGAGATCTTAGACGGATTTGCCGCCATGAACTTTTCTTCCATTTGTATTTTAAGGGCATCCATCTCTCCAGATTCTCCTAGCACCCTTTTTGTAAAAGCAAACAAAATATCCAAGCAATGGATCCTATCTCCACTGACCATAGGCAGGTCCATTGCTATGAGTTTGATTTTGTTTGGTTTCGCTATGCGCAAAGGTTCTGACAGCGCGTCTGCAAAGTCTGAAAGTGCAGAATACTCAATAAACTGAGTGGCTTCAGGGTCAAACTTCTCCCAGATTTCATAGAACATATCAAAATCATCCTCGCTTAGAGGCTCTGTACTTTCCTCAGTGGCTACACTGAAGTTCTCTAAAATAATGGCTATATACATGTTTACAACAATGAGAAATGATATAATGATATAAGTAACGAAGAATAAAATCCCTACAGCAGGGCTTCCACAGTCTCCCTTTGAACCATTTGCATTCGGAAGGTTTGGGTCGCAATATGGTGGTCCAGTGTTTAAAATAGGGTTGAGAAGACCATCCCAGCCAGCTGATGTGGTGATTTGGAAGAGACAGAGCATGCTGTTAGCAAAGGTTTGGAAGTTGAACATGTCATCAATCCCATGCTCCTTCTTCACATAGGCAAAGTTAGCCATGCCAAAAATGGCATAAATGAACATGACCAGAAAAAGCAAGAGGCCAATGTTGAACAGAGCAGGTAGGGACATCATTAAGGCAAACAGGAGAGTTCGAATTCCTTTGGCTCCCCGGATGAGTCTTAGGATCCGGCCAATCCGAGCCAAGCGAATGACTCTGAAGAGTGTGGGAGAGAAGAAATATTTCTGGATGATGTCCGAAAGTACGGTGCCTTGAAAAGAAAAGACACAAACAGTGAGTTAGCACATGGGAAACGACCCCAGGCTTCTCTTTAAAGCAATCAGTAAGGATTACGGACAAAACCAATGAAAAGTTCCCCAAACTGGAAGACCTGTGACAAAGGGAATGGCATTGTTCTTAGCATTTTTATGCCCATTTAACCCATGCAAACTTTTGAGACTATGAGCAAAGGTGTCAATGGTAGCCATCGTTTTATTAAGGGAAAGCAGGTCTACTGGGAATGAGAAACCAGGATTAACTCAGACAGGACATATTTATCCGCACCTTTTAGTTATGACTTTTGGTCACCCAAGCCATTTATTCTGACAGTAGCTGGTCAGAATTTTTCTGATTTGACAATATTTTTGTCTGTAAATTATGAGTCAGTACTGTAAAGCTGGTGACCTGGACCTGTTTTTTGGAGCCACCATCAGAACAATGCAGGTTTCCACTGGAAATCCACTTCTTTGTTCGTTTGCTTATTAATTTTTCAAATTTTCCTGATGGGCTGGGAGGGAACTAAGGGCTAAGATTGTACTAGCAAGGAAATGAGCTTGCACCCCTGTAGCTAAACTCTTCCTGCAGAAATAAGGCAGCTTGGTCCAGATTTGTCTAATGCCGACAGTCCCTGGCTGCACTGAGTCCAGCCTGGGAGAGGGCTCACTGGCATGACCCAAGTCCTCTGACACTGAAACAACCTGGTTGATCACTGGACAGAGCTATGACCAATGTGACAGCTCTGTTTGACCGTCTGCTATGGGCATATCCTGAGCATCCAGCATCAAGGTTCTGGTGACAGCTGTATGGTAGTGATGTTCCCTGGGTGACCCAAATCTCTGAAATCCAGGTGGTCTTTGCTGATCCAAGGCCTCCAAGGCACAAGCTGCTCTCTGGGCACTAGGGATCTCCTGTATTGGGACCTTGCAGGCTCCATGGCCCACCAGAGAGAGTTTAGAGCAACAGAAGCATCAGTCAATGAGAAGATGGCTCTGTTTTCCTAACATGACAGTTTTTCATTCACCTAATCCTTCCTTCAAAATGGAAACTATATTGGAAGAGCCAAAGTTCTGAGTTCCTTCTGCTAACTGGATCAGTTGATCATCTTCCAGCTGCTACTTTATTTCCAATGTCAATGAAAACTCTTTTGGAAGGATTTTGGATTCATGTTTGACCTTCACTTCTGTAGCACCTAACATATGATCTATGGTGGGGCTGCAGGACAGAAAAAGGCACAAATTAACAATAAAACTGTGTCTTTCTGTTTCGTCCCTTGAGTAGATAAGTATTTGGAGCTCCAGGGACAACAGGGCTGAGAACAGCCAGACTCACTGCACCTGCCCTGAAGGGCTATTTCACATTGATGCAGTAAAAAGAAAATAGCAAAACAACAGCAGTCTGCATGTACCCTTTCCATGTGGCTTTTTTACTTCTCTGTCTTTGGCTGTTATGCAGAACTCGGTTTAAGTGTATGGTGCCAGTTCTGGACCATATTTTACCACCAGGAACCATTAAGTGTATATTGAAACCAATACTGTGGTGTGATAAACCTCATAATTTCACTGATCACACAAGTTATTGTTAGGCAGTATTATGTCGTATTATTTAAATATTAAAAAATGAGGCTTAGGATCTAATTCTATGTTGAAAGTGTATTTTACTGCATGAAGCCTTCAACTTCGTCTAATTAAATTCATGTCTGTCTTTTTAACTTTGGAGTTTGGGTGAAAATCCAGATTCACCTACCTACGATAGACAGAATCACGACCACAAAGTCAAATATGTTCCAGCCATTGGTGAAGTAGTAGTGTCGCAGAGCGAGCATTTTGATGATACACTCCCCAGTGAAGATGGCAACAAAAAGCATGTTGATTTTATGGAGGATGTTCACTTTTTCTTGACTTTGGTCATCCGTTTCCACCATCATGGTAACCATGTTAAGGCAGATGAGGATCATGATGGAGACATCAAAGGCTTGTTTTGAGACGACATCAAAAATAAAACCTTGGTATTTGTTCTGGAGGAAAGGAGAAGATTTAGTTAGGAAATTTGAACTGTGTCAAAATGATGACATCATTGTCTCCTGATTGATCACAAAATAGAGGAAAATAGATAATGTACTGCTTCTGATTAGAACTTCATAAACATAAAGATGATGATGAATGGTTGGATGATAGAGTTTTTAAACCCATTTACTCTTAATGTTTCTTGAAACTACTGAAAAAAGAGCTTGGACGGGGGCCATGAATTCATTCACTGCAGGCCTGCGGCCACTGCCATCACTACATATGTGAATTGCACTTTTAGTCAATATTGAAAAACAATGGGAATTTTGTACCACACAGGTCACTGGACTTGCAAATACTGTCCAAAATCAAAACACATAAATACTAAGTGACTTTCATCTGAAGTAATCACTCTTCCTATGCTGAAAAGTTGAATTCTATTCATTCTATTAAATAAATATTCAGCTATTACACATAGTTCAACTGAATGATGCCATTCTTACCAGTGGCCTTGGGATTGGCTTTTGAGGTTTCTTAGATCCCAACTTTTTCATTGCGTTATAATACTTTTTCTGTTCTTCTGTCATAAAGATATCCTGGCCACCTAAGTATAGGGTGAGAACAAAGCTATTACTTTTGATGAAAAGAGGTCCACTGACTCCATCCAAAGTTCAGGGCTGCATCTTCTTCTATTTTCTTATTTTCTTTTTCATGTAGCTTTCATCAAAATATCTAAGAAGGCCTTGATGAGATGCAGTGCTGGGAGCTGCTTATCGCATAGAGGCGAAGGGCAGGAGACACAAAGCAGCACAGGCAACCAAGGAGGAGCAAGACTCACATTTTGCCTGCACACAAGGTAGATCCAGGGTGAGAGGGGAAAATAGAAGAACCTCAGCCCTTTGTTTGGAGCCTACCAAGCGGCAAGAAACACAGCTCTCAGGCCAGGCTGCTCCTCTCTGACCCTGGCTGCACCTTGGGGCAGGGAGGCGATGGGTTGAGGAGAACAGGTTGCACTGCTGAGGGACAGTGGAGTTTGTGCGTGGGGGACACCTGTGGCAGGGTTTGTGCCCCTGTGGCAGGGTTTGTGCCAGAGATCCCACCTGCAATGAGCTGTTTCACTGATTTCTGTGGGGAATATAACCCCCCAGCCTGTATTTTCAGAATGCTCATCCTACAGGGACATTAGGGGCTGCTACAACTGTGCTTTTGTAAAAGTCCTGCAAGGTGGTTCCTGCAGCTCTTCTGTCAGTGCTAATCTTGAGGCTAATGTGGCAAAGCCACCGCTTATAAATCTATCCCTTGCCCTGGTCTCTGCAGCAATTGCACGGTGACGTGTAGCATATGCACTACTTATCTTTTTCTTTTGTTGATTAAAATTGTCAATGATGACACCAATGAAGAGGTTCAATGTGAAGAAAGACCCAAAGATGATGAAAATCACAAAGTACAGGTACATGTATAAATTACATTCCCATTCAGGCTGCTCCTCACACTGCAAAGGGAAAAGGGGAAACGTGAAAACACCAGCATCTCTGCACATATCACAATATTAATGCAGTTAAAAGAAAACTCTGGAGACTGGATATAACCCATTCAGCTCTTCCCCTAAAAATGGCAGGTTTCCTGGTCATGTCAGTAAGTTGAACAGCCTGGAATTAAGGACCTGTCTCTGAAGTTTACTACTGGCACCTGCAATGACCACGGTCATTTCAGCTCGATTTCACAACACTGTCACAGCGACCACACTGCTTCAGAAAGCGCAACTTCAGAATAAACCCTATAAAATGTTCTCAGTCTGAACCCAGAAGGGGAAAAGAATCAATTTTCTGATTATCCCTAATCTTATATGAACTGATGGCACTTATAAAAAGCAAATGTATGATTGCAGTATAATTAAATGCTACTTAAAAACACTGTATTGAGAGTCAGTGTATTTAGAAGTAAATTTTTTTTTTTATGAAGAGTGGAAATGAATAAGATGTCTTATTTTTGCTGAGAGACTGAGCAATGCAGTCCAACAGCCTCAAATCGCGTGTACCACACTGAGCAAAAATGCTCAGATTTGTCCCACCAGCTCCAGGTATCTAACCAAGATGACAGAAGCTCACATTTCCCTAAATGCCCTATTTTCTCATGCGTAACCCATGTGCTTCATTCAGTAGCAGGGAGGATACAGACATGTGCACATGTAGTGCAAGAATAAATCCACATCATGAGCTATGTTATGCAAAGGCACTTCTCCACTCCTTTGATGTCATGGGGTTTTTTCACCCCTTATTCCCCCATTTAGGGCTCGACTCCCTGTTACTCAATTCAGACTGTCAAATTCCCAGGGCCCAGTGTAAACTTGTTTCTTTAATATTATTAAAAGAGCTACAACATCTCCTTCAGTAAAGAAAAAAGGGAAAAGCCTTTTTTTTCTCTCTCTCTTTTTTTTGGTTTTGTTTTGTTTTTTTTTTTAAGGAAACCTGAAAGCTGAATGGGATGTAGGCAGGAATTGGTTGCCAGCTCAGGGCAGTCACCAGCACCCAGAGCTCAAGCACGTCTCAGGCCAGAGCTGGAAGTTCATACCAGGCTCCTTCCCTGCCAGGAACTCCTCCACCCTCCTTGGCTGGAGCTGCTGGTTACAGAGAAGAAACTTGCTGAAGGTGAAGATATAGGGGGGGCTGAGGATGGGAATTACAAGAGAATGTAATTTTAACCAAATGCTTTTAAAGAGGTTCCAGTTATCACAAGTTAGATCCGTGGGAAATACGTCAGTCAGCGGGGAGATTGGAAGAAACAGAGGACAACTTAGGTTTTTGGTAGACTCATTCTGACTCTGGGGGTGCCTCTTGGTGCTTGGAGTTTTGCAGTATGAATAGATAAACCAGTTGTGTAGAATGGAGGGCTGCATTTGTTTTAATCTCGGGGTCATGATGCTTCAGCACGAGCTGCTAAAAATGAAGATCTGCAACTGTCTCAACCAGAGCAAGACAGGGACTGGCAACTTGCATGTATTTTGTTGTTGCTGTTGCTGTTAAACACCACGAATGCAGCAAAAGTCAGTGGAAAAAGAAATTATTAATTTCCTTGTAGTGACTTACCTCTCGTGAATCCACTGCTGCATACATAATGTCCATCCAACCTTTAAATGTGGCCTGAAAAAAACCCCACAAAATACATAATTAAGCATAATAAATAAGCATATCTTGAAATGCTGATATCACCTCTGAGATGAGTTTTCAAAATGCAATGTTGAGCATGTTCTTCACAGTTAATGAAATGCCTCTCTTTTAAAGCAATATGTATCCAGGGGTTTATGTTAATTTAGACATTTTAATTCATTCCAGAATGGTTTTCTGCTGTATTCTCTCATTCCTGTTTTCTGATTTGCTGCAGTTGTAGGGATAAAACAGAGGGTTTCAAAAGACATTTTAAAAAGGAGAGAAAACATGGCAATTAAATCTTTGGAAGTTTTGACCTTAAGAAATTCAAGTGATGAAGAGATACAGCTGGACAGGACAACTCAGAGTGCTGTCCTGCACAAGTCTCGGGCCAGGTGAGATGGGTCCCAGCCATGCTGCTGGTTCAGACAGATGGGCAGTGACTACGTTATGGGATCCCACTGAAGCTTGGAGTCTGCCCTCTTTTAAAATGGGGTAAATCGAGGCAATGTCAAAGCCCAGGGAGATGCATAAATCACATCTGACTTGAAAGGAGCAAAGGCAATCAACACCTGCTGTGAGCCTGGCCCTGGAAACTCCATCTGCTTTACTGTTCGGATTTTCTTCCTTTAAATCAGCGCTTCTAATTATTATTTTTTTAAAATTGTTTAAACAAGGAGGGACTCTGCAGAAGTCAATGCCTGTTACTGGGACCTGCAGTGGAGACAGGGTGGTGACAGTACTCCTAGGAGAAACACGCAGAAGTGATTTTTACTGTTGTCTAGCAAAAACATGACTCCCTGCTCTCAATCTATGCCTCTGATTAGACACAGCCTGATGTCAAACATACCCAGCATTAGATCTGACTCTGGCCTAAGCCACACTACCTTAATATTAGTCCTCTGGGGTTGTTTCTCATTTGACTTCTGACTCATTTAGACTCATCCTGGATTTCAAATCAGCATGAGCAGATAATGAGGCATTTTTAGATTTATTGATTTAGTTGGATTTACACTAGCGTGCATGAAAGATCCATGCCCTTTTTTTTTTTTTTTTTTGATCCTCCTGACACTTAGGTTGAATTTTCTCCATGGTGTGCAGGCATGCAATTCTGATAATGCTAATAGGAATTTGGCCAGTGGTTCCCAGGAGAAACCCAGGTATTTGTGTTGAGCTAGGTACATCCAGCGGTTTTAGAAATGCTCCATTATACATTCTCTATTATTAAATTAAATCCTGGAGGTAATGGTGCCTTCCCATTTCCCTCTGAAGGCTACTGAGCCAAAGGAAAATGTTGTACAAGAGGTCAACCATATTTCTCATGAAAGTATATATAAAATAATGTTTGAAAGGTTGGATTCATTTTTATCTACTGGTTGAAAAGATTAAACCCGCAAAATCAGAACCCTTTGGAAAATCTATTTCATGGTACTGTGTGTTACAAACCACTTTAGATATAAAGTGTTTATAGGGAAGATCAGCAGTTTTATTGAAACGAATAAATATTTAAACCTGTCATGCTGATCCTCCCTAACTGTTCTAATATTTTCCTTTTTTGTGGTTCTCTTTCTAATCTGATGAAAGATTTTCTGGTGTCCTTAGAGTAGCTTGCAGCTTCCAGCTCAAAGTGCCATTCAGGAAGGGTGGACGGGATGAAACAAGAAATCCTTCTCCCTGTGGCACAAACCGATATGATCTTAGCCTGTACTTTTCTCCCATGTGGGAGGAAATCTTTTCTCTTGAGTACCTATTTTACTCCTTGATGTGCACCATAGACGTGGGAGACTCTACTGCAAGGCACAGTGGTTTATAGCGGTAATAGATGATAAAGTAATCAGACAAAAATAAATATTAAGAGAATGAAGTATTGTGATTTTCTGTTTTTCCCAGTTGTCCAGAAGTAAGAGTATTAAAAACCCACAGGGCTTCTGGAAAGCTTCCTTAGACACTTCATCTACAGAGGGTAAAAGATACTGAGAATGAAAGAAATATAACACTGGGGAAAGAAATTATTTATCTGGAATTAGTAACCACTTACACTCTGGATAAGGAAGTGACAAAATCTTCACGGGAGTGTTTGTGATATTATCCTGCCTGGAAGCTATCCAGAGAAACACCATTTTCTACTGAAACTGTCATGTGATGAGATTATCTACCGATAAACTCATCCTGGGATGGGATTACGTTTTGTTATTTGTCTGGAGGTTGGAGCTGCAATGCAGTAAATCAGTGGGGATGGGGATAGGTGGGACAGCACTAGCTGCCCTCAAACCATTTATGTATAACCAAATGGTGCCTTAAAATAAAACAAGCCTTTAAATCTACAAAGGGGATTTCTTTTTTTTCTAGAAAAGGACTGCAATAGTACAGTAAAAATGGCTGCCTATGATGGCAGAAATACTGGTCTTCACATTTCCGAAATGCTTCTTTAAGCATTACTAGTGGTTAAACAGAAGGGAAACTTCTGAAAGCTGAACCAGATCTACCAACACTACAAGCAAATTACACATATTTAAGTTGGCTTTGCTAACTCCACTATCTGCTGGCTTTTCTGTTCAATTTTTCAGTTTGATTTCATCGCAGTGGCAATTTTATACCAAACATTCTTTTTAGATTTATTCTGCGTTAAGATAATTTGCTGGGGAGGGCACCACTGAGCATCGGACCCACCAGCGCACCTCGGACATCTGCACTGCACTGGGCTACGCAGGCTCCAAGGGCACTGCCTCTGCCCCCCTTGCATTTCCACCAGTAATTCCTCATGGAAATGCTGCTTACACCTAATCTTTGGACACATGGAGAAATATACCCCGCTGCACCAATTTATGGTTTGTTCAGAAGCACAGACTTTTTGCACATTTTGCATCCACGGTGAAAGTAAAATCTAGCATTGCAGTTTACAGAAGCGCAAGAGATCAGGTAACTCAGTAACTTTAGACACAGGCCTCTGTCTCATGACCATTTTGTAGCTGATTTATGAGCTCGGTCATGACTTCGAACCTGGCATGAGGGGTTGATTTAACGCTACAGCTCCTGATTGCTGTACTGGTCTAGGAGTGCTTCTGTTATCTTCCCATTCCTTATCTGGAGTCCCAGAGTGACAAAGGGTTGTAGGACATATTAGATGTAAGTCTGTTCCTGTCTAAGGGGAACTTTTCCAAGCAAGCCAGATGCTGTGTGAGAGACCACTTGTTTTCTTGGTGTTCTTCAATAGATTGCTGAAATTTCAAGATGTGTTGCAAAAAAATATGTGGAGGTGATCATAACCTCAAGGGAAGGATTCTGTAAGGGAAATGCAAAACTCCTACTGGAAATTTAAGATATTTCTTTGTTCAGCTCAAATACAGATTTATAGAACATAGGTGCTGTGATCTGCAAAGCAATTCTGGGAATATAGAAAAGGCATTACTGAAGCACTGGGTTGTAGCAATAATTTTTTCCTAATAGATCAGGGTGTTAAGGGTGTTAAATCCCCAGAAGAGTGAACCATCCTTCTTGCAAATTAAAAAGTCATGATAATAAAGATCTCTTCTTCCCCATGAATGAGGCATTTCTCTTGATTGTAGAGTAAGCAGAGACCGTCTCCTATTTTAGTAACCTGAGACAGCACGTTTGTTAGTTGGAGAAGCTTGAAACTTGGCTGACCACTTCACATGAATGTTTTCTCAGACGCATTAAATCGAAGTGGCATCTGCAGAACAAAGGGATGGATCATAAACAAGGTAGGAAAAGAGCAAAGGAGATTTGGGGAAAGTTTCATGCAGTTCTCAACTACGCTGCCAGAAAGTTTGCCTCTGGATAGTAGTAAGCCTTAAAGTGTTCATAGTTGTAACTTCTCATTTCTTTCAAGGATGCTGTAGAAGTGAAGACACAGCATTAGACAGAAAGATTTTGTTTACAAATTTCCATTTGGATTTTCAGACACATTCAGGCATCCAAAGGTAACTTCAGAGTCATTCGAAGGGTGTGTTGCAGCAGCTGAAAATGTCAACAGTCAAAAGACAAGTCCCACTTAAAAGCTCCTATTTTGGACCCTGGAAGGCTGTAACCAAAATGCTTATCTCATCATTGCTACGCACTGCCTCAGCGTGCACAAAGATGCATCGATATGCCTGTCTCTCTAGGAGAGCTGAGCTGTTAACTGATCCCCTGCAGTTCCCATGGTAGTTTGCTCGTGAAATGCAACTCCATGTGGAGGATATTTGGCGAGAAGCACCTGTAACCGACACTCCTCGGCTGGAGTCTGGCAAAAGACATCCAGATGTTTGGGCTCCTTCTCTGTGGGTGTCATCTTTACACTTTATTGCCTAAGACTGTCATTAGCAGCAGACATAAGAGCTGCAGGTGCAGGATGAAAGTTAAAATCAATCCCCTAATGGCATCTGGCTCCTGCCCTTCCTCCTGGAAGAAGGAGCCAGCACCTACCGTAGAACCTGAGTAAGGTTTTAGGGCTCCCTCATTTCCTGCCATAAACAGTTTGTCCAGCCTGCACAGGCTGGACATTTATGGCACTTCTTTTGTACTTCTGCAACTGGAAAACCTAATTCTTTGCTACCCAATACAGGATCACAGTTTTGAAAGAAACCTGCAGGGTCATCAAGTCCATTTTCAGCTGGAAAACAGCAATACTAGACCGTCCCTTCATAAATGTGCCGAGATCCACCTTATGACCAGTTATGTTTTTGCTGCCACTGCTGATCCCAGCAGAAGGCAGTCCTACCTGCTGAATGTGGCCAGTATCAAGTGCCCAGGAACTGGTGTTGCAGATCTGTAGAAGAGACTGCTTCAGGATGCTCCTTATGCAATGCCAGTTTATGAAAAGTCGCAGATTTTCAGAAAGCTGGAGCTTGAGTCTCACAAAAGAAATGGTGAAGGAATAACTACTTCTCTGATGGAGTTTTTTCACCAAACAAACTAGGCATCTGTTATGCAGTCATGGAGGAGATAAGAAGCTTCAAGTGAGGCATAATATTTTAAACCTGGAAATTTTTGCTCAGCTAGATTGGATGTTTAAATAAAAGACAAAGAAAGCACTATATAGAACGGAAAATCCAATTAAAGACGTTCAAAGTGAATTAATCCACCCTGCATGCATGAACTGAATATCATAATTACATGCAAAAGATAAGAGCTCTTGCTCTCAGCAAGTTCAGCTTCATGTCACGGAAAGAACCAAAAGTGGTTGTACCCATTCTAACCTTTCTGCTTTCCAGAGGGTATGAAAGCAAAGACTCGATGGACAGAGGTCAGAAGATCTCAGACTCAAGTGTATGTCTACCAGGAACAGAGTACATAAGGATAAGCATTTCTACAAGGGAGGAAAGCTACCTCATGGAGCTATTTCAGGCGTCTGTGACAGAGAAAAAAAGATCTGGGAGAAAGCAAATTTGCATCCCGGGAAGGAGAAGGGCTGGCAGATCTGATGGGGGAACCTGTGGGAGGCTCATGCCCTCTTGGAAGGGCAGGTGGGGCCCCAGGGCAGTACTCTACCGCATTGCAAAGGGTGGACGTCTATATGTGACAACTGAATTGAGCTCCCAGCAGGCAAGTTTCTATCCCAGCAGGCAAGTTTCTATCCCAGTAGGCAAGTTTCTATCCCAGAAGCAAGGGGTGCCATCACAGGTGCTTCAAGACAGTAACCTCCCTGTCTAAGGTTGTAGCGAGGGACTTGTTTCACTCTGTGTGCATAAAATGCAACACAAGAAACATTCCTAGTGCGTATCCAGCCCTTGTCATCACTAAGCTTCAGAGCAAATTAGGAACAACAGAAATAAGTATCATTACCAGTATGTCACATGAAGGCCCCATGGAATTGAAACACAAAGCAATTTGTCTATAATCACTCAACAGTCCAGCGGCAGAGCCTGGACAAGGAGATGGAGTCTCCTGTGGCTCTATCCATTAGGTTGTGCTGCGTCACAACGCAGTCAATCTCTGTGCATACAACCCCTTTATCCATGTTTTACATTTGCTGCTGAAAAAGGTTGTAAAAGTGGCTTACTTCTGTCTTTTAAATATTTCCATCATCTTTGAACTTCAGCAGTCTCTTCTCTGGTACGCTCTTGCCACCCTTCCAGAGAGAGCAGGCAGTATGGAGTTACAGCAATATGATCACCACCATGTTTCATAATAGTGTCCAGTCTGACTCATTATGTTTAGCAGGTCAAAATGAGGTGAGGAACCACCGTCTCAAACATCTCCATGGAAGGTGAGCAAAGGACTGTACATTAAGATTAACTTCAGCTGAGTACCTGAAGGTACAGTAACTTTTTCCCAGCAGGGTATAGTGAAGTCCCAGGCAGTTCAGGACAGCCAGTGCACTCTGTCTGCATGAACAGCCCTTCCCGGACCATGACTTCTTGTTTCTGGAACTAAACTTTGCTCAGGATTACAATATTGCCAAAATGGTCACTAATTCACCTCAATATTCTAATCACCTCCCAGAGGACCACATTAGTGATGCACCGGAAACTCAAAGTAAAACCAGAAGCTGCCATAAATATCTCTAGGCCAAATTAATATGCTAAATATGACTCATTTACACTTGAGGAAAGGTATTGCCCTAATAGGTGAGGCTGAAAAACCCGTAAAAGCATAGAGGTCGACCTGAGCCTTTAAGCTGATGATTTCAATGACAACAAGCAACATTTGCCCATTAGTTTAGTTTCTGATGGTCACACTTACCACTTGTAGCAGAGCCAGGTACCCAGCACCAACATTATCAAAGTTAACTTTAACTTTTGTCCAGTAAAACGTGCCTGACACGTTATAGAGTATACAGTCACTCATGTTGTTAATAATTTTAGAGTCTAAAGGCATATCTCCTTCTGTCTTATTAATGCACTTCCCAAATTTCCCAGCAAAGAGGTTCACTCCCATGATGCTAAAGATGAGCCAGAAGATGAGGCAGACGAGCAGAACATTCATGATGGAAGGGATGGCTCCCACGAGGGCATTGACCACCACCTTGGGTGAAACAGGAGAGAGAAAACAGAATTAATGTCAGCAGATTTATAGACACTTGGCCAACAAGCTGCTGTGCACCCTTGGGTAACTAGGCTGAACCCTCATATGGTTACTGGTGGGTAACTACTAACACCACCTAAAGAGCCAGACCACCATTAAAGGCTTCACACATTATTATTTTTTCCCTTTTGTAATTGAGGAGCTAATCTGTTGGCATCTCACTCACTCATGGGATGATGTTTTTTTCAAGAGGACTCTTTTAATTCAGGAACAATCTGGGAAGTCATTGTGGCCTCTCAGATCCTACTGGATAATACACTTCAGTCAAACCATCTCAAATATTCATATGATTAATTGGAAAGGGCTGGGGTACATCACAGTGTCTCAAAATAGACCAGAAAAGATTTCTGAAATCTTTTACTGAACTCAGGCCTCCCTAGTCCTTGGGATGTGAACTCTAGCTGTGATAAATCTTGCTTATTTAAATAATAACTGATTGAGACATACTGTACTAAGCCAGCTTCCCCTGCCTGATCAGTATGCATGACTAAAACAGTGAACCCATTCTAATTTAACAAAAAATGTATTCTTTTTCCCTGTGACATGCTGTAAAATTCCTACACATCAACCCTGGCAGGGCTGTAAACCTCTCTGTAAACCCATCCATTTTCTGAGGGAAGCATGCTATCACAAATCAGAGTTTTCCCCTTCCTATCAGCAAGGTTTGTCCATATTCACAGCCTTTGGAGATGTTGCCTGACAGCATTGCTGCAGACACCAGCCCTGCATTTGTCTCCATCTCTGTCTCATGCTTTGGAGATTAAAATCTGGTAGGCAGACACTAAGCTCTTCCTCTTCTCCATCTACATTTCTGAAACTGAGACAAGGTGATATTGATCCATAAAAATTAAATTTTATTCAATTGTGGAGCTGATTATGGCAAATGTCAGCTCTTGTTTTCTCTCGTATTAGTGTCCAATTTTCTGACAAGCTAATAATGTAACATTCGTTTCCCCATCATTTTTACATTGCTGAGGAAGAAAAATACCCGGAAGAGTGAAACGGCTTTCATGCATGCATAGCGGCAGCTTCATCGACAATATACAATACCAAATTATGTAGATCTTTCAAAACCCAGATTTATATTTTGAGCATTTATGAATGAAGCTAATTCTCACACAGGAAAAGCTGCTTGACCAATTTTTTCTTTTTTTTTTCTGTATAGGCCCACTGCTGATGACTTTTCAATTCCTTTTTTTTTTTTTTCTAATTTTATCTTTTAGTTTTGGATGTTAATCAATTTATAACTTCATTATTTTAAGATCAAATTTACTGTGGTAGCCAAAAATGCCAAATAATTTCCAAATCAAGGGCTTATTTGGATATGGGGTTGTCACAACAACCCCATGCGACGCTACAGGCGTGGGGAAGAGTGGCTGAAAAGCTGCCTGGCAGAGAAAGACCTGGGGATGTTGGTTGACAGCCAGCTGAATATGAGCCAGCAGTGTGCCCAGGTGGTCAAGAAGGCCCAGGCTGGTGAGGGGTCTGGAACACAAGTCATACAAGGAATGGCTGAGGGAACTGGGGTTATTTAGTCTGGAGAAGAGGAGGCTGAGGGGAGACCTGATCACCCTCTACAGCTACCTGACAGGAGGCTGTAGGGAGGTGGGGGTTGGCCTCTTCTCCCTGATAACAGGTGATAGGACGAGGGGGAATGGTCTGAAGCTGCACCAGGGCAGGTTTAGGCTAGACATTAGGAAAAACTTCTTCACCGAAAGGGTTGTCAGGCTCTGGAATGGGCTGCCCAGGGAGGTGGCCGAGTCCTCATCCCTGGAGGTATTTAAAAGACGGGTAGATGAGGTGCTTAGGGACATGGTTTAGTGGTGAGATGTCAGGGTTAGGGTAATGGTTAGACTTGATGATCTTAAAGGTCTTTTCCAACCTAAACAATTCTATGATAGCCTCAGCCCTTGTCAAAGTAGCTTTCATTTGCTGCTATGTGGGACAATATTTTTGCTCAATTTCAATCCATGCAGCACAAAGCCATTGCTCTTAGGTTACATATGCTGGTGAACCCCATCCGCAAGCCTTGTGACAGAACGTAGACATCCAGGTTTTAGCAGTGCAAGCAATGGCCATGCCTGCATCCTGCTTTTTTTCCTTCTGCTGAATTATGTTCAACGGCTTGTAGCTAACAAAACACGACATGAGGCTGGAGCAAATCCTGCAGCACCTCTCCAAATGAATTATTAACAGGGGGTTTCATTCTTCTCTCACTGCTTCTGCTCTTACACCAGCATGATGACATTTGGTCTGCTGGAAGCACTCCTGATTTGCACTGAGACAAGTGAGAGGACTTAAAGACTTAAAGGCAATAAATTACTATAAATACATGTTAAAAATTCAGCTGCAAACCTTGCCCTGGAAAGGGCTGAATTTCTGTTGCGTCTAGGAACAGCAACATATATAGTCATGTATAAGAAAAGGTTTCATACCGCTTGATTTCCATCAATACCTTTATAGAAGAAACCACCATCCAGGTGACTTCTTTAGGGGTAGCCTAGAAACGGAGCCACCCTCTGCCCTAAGCCACAATCTATAGCTTGTGGTCCAGTTACAGATTTGCTGGCCCAGCTCTCCTGATCTCATGGGCCACCTTTTCAGCCAAAGCTGATTCAGATTTTAAATCCAGAAAAAGACTTGCATAATGCGTTAATCCTCCCTTTGCCACAGCAGAGCCCACCAGACATTCAACACAAATGTCAGGCCCAGGCTTTAACCCCTACCCCAGCCTGGACGCAGCTTTTGCAAAGAGGCCTAATTTACTGTGTCATGATTTCAAATAATGGACAAAAATTTTATTATTAGAGAATCTGTTCCTGGTGTCCTTTGCCCTCACTGTTATAAACAGGTGCTGTATTTTTAGGTTGAATTTGTTGAACTTGAGTTACTAGTCATCTGCTGTTAGACAGCTTCTCCCAGTCATCCCAGTCTTCATCGCGGGTGAGTTGCCACTGAACAGTGCTTTGGGTAATTAAGAAACCAGATCTTCTTTCTAACTGTCATCATTCCTTTAGATTTCTAATCATGCTGGAGAGACGTTCTCATTTTTAACACCCTGTTTCCAGCAGTTTGGTGGAATTCCAGTACTGAAGCACTGCTGTCTCCCTCTGTTTGCTGGGTTCTTTTCCTGTGTATTGAGGGATTGTATTAGTCACCTCATTTATCAGACCTGCGCAAAAGCTTGTGTCCTGTTGAACAGTCAGCCTGATCCCTAAGTCCCTCTCAGCCTCTGTTTTCCAAGAAACGTCCCCCAGAATGACCTACTTTCCTCCGCCCGACGTGTACGATGTATGTGATTTTATTAAAATGCATGTTGTACCACTGATTTGTTTTTCACTGTGATCCAGATCAGTCAGTACAATTCCCTTAACCACGCTATCACTTACTACTCCGCTCACTTTGTGTGTTGTCAGCAAAGATTTTATATTTTCGTCCAGATCCTGTTAAAGTCCAGATTAAGGACAGTTCTTATTCTGAAGGATCCCTTACCCTAAGGCACTCATCACCAAACTACAGTGTCACCACTGTTTACAATTACTTTTTGAGATCCATCACCCATTTTAAATTAATTTAAAATATGTTTACTTGGCTTAGTACAAAGCTCGTATTTTCATCACGATGTCCCATGGTATCAGATTCCTCTCTGAAATCCAAGGATATTATATCAGTGCAGTTACCATCATCAGCATAAATTGTAATCAAATCAAGGGACCATATCGGTTTTACAAGAACTATTCCCATGAAATCATGCTAACTAGCATTAATTATGCTATTTCTTTCCTGCTTGTATCTTGTAGCAGCCTCACCATGATTTTGCCTGGTATCATTTTCACATTAAATGGTCTATCATCATCCCACTCATCGTTTTGAAATACTGCAATAACATCTCTTGCTGGGAAGTAACTTGCACGGGAGCAGCTCCTCTGAAATAATTCCCCGATGGACAACGAATGAGGAGACATGGGAGTCTGCATGATTCAGGACAGGCAGACCTAAGTTAATTTATGCTGGGCTCTAATATGGCCTGGAAAGCGGTGGGTGATGAAGGGTGGTGGGACATGTGTGGCACCCCCAGGGTCTTCAGTAACTGTCAGGTGGGATACTGGTCTTACTGGGGTCTTTTCTGGGGACAGAAGGGCAAGATGGCAACAGATCAGCCTTACTGCGCAGACCTCTCATGGGATGGGAGCTGCTGAGACTTGTGTCAAACTCAGGCAGGTCCCAGCCTGTTTGAAGACAGGGACAGGGCTGAAGTCTGATGGCAACACGTCCTCTTGGCCATCCAGGTGCTACTCTGTGCCTTTGCCTCAGGACCAGTTGTTTCCAAAATTTAGGCACAATGTCAATGAAATAAGTCTCTTACTGCTGTATAAATGAGAACTTTCTTGTTCCTGTTCCAGCCATGCAAGAATCTTTCAGTTATTCAAGAAAAAGGCATTATAATAGAGCAAAATGTTACTATTTTCTTACTGTCAGTGTTTGCTTCTCAACATTATCATTATTTAATCCATCACTGTGCTGGCAATTTTCCTGTGCATTCTGGAGCATATGCACTCCTAATAATGAAAGGTCTAACTGTCCCTAGTCATGTTAAGTGTGGTTAGATAAACTAAAAATAAAATGATTTGATTTTCCAATAGCACGTATACTCAATTACACTTTATCATAGTTTACAAGCTAATTCACTACCTCAAATAGCTCAGAAAGGCAATATATTTCAGCTGCAGCAATGGTACAGGGAAGAAAAGGGATGTTGAGTCAGGGACCAGGGCAGCCTACAAATATGGGCATGTTAGGAATAAAACTTGCTGGGCTTATCTGTGTGTCTACACCATGTACGATCTCTGCCAAGCCAACCTCTTGCTGTTTTCAGAAAGCCTCTCAGTAGAGATGTGGACTTCTTCACATTCTTCCTTTCCTATTTCAGCCACACTTTTCCAAAGCTCTGGGCTAGTCTTCCCACTGCTTTTCAGGTTTGAATCCAATTGAGTTAAACTGATGCAAAGTCATGAGTGAACATTCTCATGACAGCTTAGAATATGTTAAAGGGGTTTCGCTTGAACTTGCAAATCCACCAGTAGAAGCTAAACCTTCATAAGCCAGATTTAAATTGATTTGAGAGAGTCTGGGCACAAATCACTCTGGTAATTAAACTAGTGCAGCTTTTGCTGATACCAACGTTTGCTCAATTTGCGTATGTTTAATAAAGACTTGGAGTGAGGTCATCAGATGACATAGGAGCGAGAGCTTTAATTACCATCTGTAGTGCAACATCGCTTTGTGGCAGCTGAGGATCTGCAGAATGCTTTTTGTTTCATTTTGTGAAACACCTTTAAAGCATGGCCTGTGTTTGCTGAAAGGGTCATGGTGAACAAAGCAATTCAGGTTTGGGTGCCCAGATGAATAGGGCCTCTTGAATCTTCTGTCTTAGTACTAACGCAGAGGAGAGTGGTTTGCAACTAGATCTGTCTGATCTTCACCCACAGAAATAAGATGAATTAGATAATCACAAGGTCTGTGGGACAAAGCCATAGAGCTCCAATTCTGGTCATCCACAGAACAGGAGAAGTATGGGTACAGGGGTTTCATAAATTGCTCTATCACCGTATTTCCTGGGTTATCTCAGTCATTAGGCTCTCTAGCCTTCAGTCTGCCTTACTGCAAGGGTGTTGCAATGGGAACAGTTAATTGCTAGGAGCTCATTGCCTGAGCTACACATTTTAGTCACTGATGATTCAGACCAAAATTTTGTCTGCAGGAAAGCTTTACCCTGAACACACCCCACTATGAAAGCTGTAGCATTTTCTTTGGCCTAGTAGAGAGATTTGGGGCCATCAGACAATGTAAGTTGTTTTATGTGTAATTTTGTCAGAGATTTGCTTTATCTTACTATGCAATCTGCAAGATTAGCAGTAACCTCAGCTCACAGAGAACACAGCTGTCATCATCTGCAAGTCATGCATGGTGCAAGGAGTTAAATAAAGTCCTTATCTAGACCATAATTGATTAGTGCAGCAGGTAGGCTTAACAAATAAACAGGTATGCTGTGCCAATATAGCCACGCCAGCAAAGGAATGCAGAAGGGAAAGGGATGGATGCACAAGATGGAGCAACAAACACAAACTACATGGTTTCAGTGTTAATCCTGACATTCCATATAAAAACTGCAATCTGTCCAAAGGAAAGATTTTATAATAATTCATTTGTTTTCCCTATCTTTAGCATTTTTATTTTTTGCTTTAATTATTAGTGAAAAAGTCCTTAAGAACTTTCCCAGTCGGTCTCATTTTAATACATGTCAAAAGAGGGGAGCAAACTTGTAGCTTGGTTATTCCCCTGATATGCCTTATAATTGAGAGGTAATTGTTAGCCAGATGCTTCCTCAGTCCAAAAGCTGTTTTTTAAAATGCAATATGACAAGTTAGGCAGCAGGATTAGTTTATCATGAAATCCACCAGAGGATAAAGCTCTAATGATACAATTGCAATCAAGACAAAGGAAGGATTTCTGATTTTGTTGGTTCGATGCAGCATTATCACTCATTTCCTTTTGCAGACCAAAAGAAGACAAAACCACATGCAACTCTTCCCTGTTACATGCTTGATGCCACACAGTTGAGCTTTCATCGACGTTTTATATGCTCTTACCCTCATCCCTTCAAATCGTGACAACGCTCTTAACGGTCGCAGGGCTCGGAGAGTCCTGAGGGATTTAATGGGGCCCATCTCAGAGTATCCGAGTGTACTGGCGATGAGGCTTATTAAAGAGACCTGAATGGAGACACAAAGCAAAAATCCAATCTGTTAGCACACTCCTGCCATTTTCCTTCTCTTCTGCCTTTCCTTCCTGAAAAGAAACAGCTGGTTAGTTGGAAACAGCTGGAAAAGTGGAAAAAAAAAACCCACAACCAAACCCACCTTAAATGGAAGTCATTAAATTAGACCAACACAGAGAAAAGGAGGTTTTTACATCCACACATATACAGAATTCTTACCAACTCACAAAAGCTTTGTTTGCAGTTTAATGCAAAATTTATAGAAATACAGGCTTTCGAAGATGTCAGTTTTCTTTTAACCAAGCACGCAGAAATCCTCTTATTGTCAGCTTGCACAGGGTTGATGAGAAAAGAGTTCACCGTTACAAAACTACCGCTCTGTGACGCCCGTGCTGCAGGTTTCCTGTACGCGCCGCAAGGTGTGTGCATCTTCCACTATTGAAAATATGATGAGTCACGTAAGTGTTGTAATTTAGGGCTTTCTGGATGAAAGAACCTGTAAGATCTAACCATTTCCAGCAGAGATAAAAGATTTTAGCATTACCGTTCAATTAGCAATCTTAACATTACTAATTAGAAACAAGTCTTCTAGATTGCTGATAGACATGACTTGATATCATAGACTCTAAAAGGATGATGTGCATATCTCTCTGATTCTGCACTTTTTCACTTTTTCTGGTTTCTACACAGCCTCTAAGGGAGAAGAAAACTTGACAGGTGCTCGATGTTGAGGTTCACACCTCTCAAAGATTATTTATTTGAAATAAACCATATATTTCAAAACCTGGAGACAGCATGGAGGGCTTCCAGTGCTCTTCATGCTCTTCTCAGAGCTTTCAGAGTGCCCAGCTGGTCAGAAATGTGGATGCTACCAGGCACAGTAGTGGAACCTGGATGAACTGAATGGCAGTGGAGATTATGGGTCAGATTAACAAACGTGGAGCAACTGGGTTTTGCATGCTCAAGTCAGTGTTCACAGCCTGAGTATTTAGGGAGTGAGAAACAACCAGCTCTCTAACGCCATAGGTATAATGGAAATTTGCATGGATTAAAAAAGGAACCAAAATTAATCCTCACATTTTATAAAATATTCTTTTCTTAGACGAGAGACCTATGCATATTGCTCACCACAGTTCCCTTACTCTCATCTTAAGCATTGGAACGGGCTGCCCAGGGAACTAGTTCAGTCCCCATCCCTGGAGGTATTTAAAAGATGGGCAGACGAGGTGCTTAGGGACAGGGTTTAGTGGTGGGATGGCAAGGTTAGGGTAGTGGTTGTACTTGATGATATTAAAGGTCTTTTCCAACCTAAACGATTCTATGATTCTATGATCTTTAGCAGTTTCCATAGCCCCAGTTATCATGGTATTGGATTGTCTCACACTCCCCAATGTGGGAGTGCAAAGCTCACCTGGGAGGAGTGTGCTTTATCATAATTTTAAAGATAGAAGCAAAGTCTAAACCCAAGGATTCTTCTACACTGTATAAAAAAATAGTTGCTCAATGTATAAGGAACCTCTAGGCTCCCCCATGAAGACAGACAGGTCTGGTGGGAAACATTCCTCTTCATTTTAGGATGGGATGATTTTTCCTCTGAACACCACTGCTGGCTGACCAGCCCACACTACCCATGAGGTTCGTGATAAAGCGGGATAAGATGAGCCTGCTCCCCTAAGCTGTGACCTACGGAGCAACCTTTCTCCTGAAATGCATTCATTTATGTACCAGCGCTGTCTGCACAGCTAAGCATCTTTGTGAAACTTGCTCAATTTGTTAAATTATTTACCTATTGATGGCTTTTTTGTGGCATGTGGGTGACAGCAAGCTTAAGGGCAGGAGGTCTTACAGACACGAAGCATGGGCTGGATGCAGCGGGTTGGATATCTGCCGGGATAAGACAGCCCGGATCTGCAGAAGACGGAGTGGCACAGAGGCTGACTGTCAGGCTTTAACGTGTCACTCCTTAACAAGGTGTGACACAAACTCCCCTCTCATGTACAGACCCAGCAGCTGACGTGGTAGGAAGATCCTCATAAACACTTCTGCATTTTAGTGGTGACTGTGCTAAAAAAACATCACAGTAGACAGGAAGACTGGATTCAAAGTCTGATGTAGGTAAAAATCACCAGCGAAGCTTTTGCTTCCATCTCTAAGAAAGTAAATCTGAACCCGTGATATGCGCACACTTAAGAAGTTGTTTTAGAGCAAGTAATGCTATAGGTTTGACATACATTCACTAGCAATGCTTCTTTCACCTAAGTTCTGCTCACAGTTAAAGATGAAAATCTGGGTTTGACTTCAAAACCATCTTAAACTCACCAACACTTCCAAACTGGGGCAGCACCCATTTTCTGTCTTCCCTCTTACCAGCCTTGATTACACCCTGTACTCTGAAGATGCATTACCATACATTCCAAAGCCTTCTCCTTTCAGCCACTCTCTCCGTTGACTTAATGGTGCCTAAATAAGGAGAAAGGGCTGAAGGATTTGTCTAATAGCAGTAAGCAAACACGCAGCACACTTATATACTAAAGCCATTCAACTAAGGCACCGTAAAACTGTAATATAATTGACATGATTGAGATATCACGATAGGAGTCACACTGGCACATGTTTCTCTCTTTGGTGGAAAGTTTAGTGCAGAAAACAGCCTTAACCCCTCAAAGCCTTGGAGCTCCCTTCCAGAAAGGCCGGAGGTATAAGAAAAACAGCTCAATGATAGCATGCTTAGTGATAGAAACCAAGCTCCATACACTCACATACCACGGGAAGCTCATTCATTTGTCAAATGAATGCAGCAATTTAAAACAAACTTCATCAAACACAGAGCACCCAATACCCTTCTTTGCCAGCTTCACCCACAATGTCTGCAAGTCAGATCTTCTCAAGGTCTTCAAACTGCCTTGGCTCATGCATCTGCATGCTTCCTCCCTTGTATCCTATAAATCCCCTTTCTCTCAAGGCAGAAGATACGCTGTTCAAGTCCTGCAAGACCAGACTTCGGATCTGAGCGGGTTACCATTTTCTTTAGAGTGTAGTAAATGTCGCCCTGAAACACATCACAGGTGCTGTTGTCCTCCTGACACAGATTTACACAGCATTAGATATCTCTTCAGAGGATTAGGCCGTGAAGCTGTGTGATATTTGGCAATGATTTACAAGGCTGGAGTCAGAACTGAGTTTGAGACAACTTGTTTAAACGCTCGGCTGTTGGTTTTGAAGGTATCCCCGTCAAATTTTATTTATGGAATTACTAACACAGAGGCTTGGCCATTTGGACTTGATTAAAAGTGACCCAGAAGGCTATTTTTAGGAAAAAAATCAAGCAGTTTTCAAAATTGGTGCTGACTGCCCCACATAATCACAGCAAAAGACGAAGTCAGCTGTTTCTGTTACTTTTTTTTTTCTGTTACAAGGCGGTGCAGCCCAGAGCTGCTCTAAGGTTCTGCTTTGTGCTCTGCTTGGTATCAGAAACTTGCTGGTACCCAAAAAACACCTCCAGCGTCAACATAGCCTCCAGATTCACAGTATGTCACACATTTCTAATATTTTCTCTTTGCAAATAGTTTTGCAGGTTTGTCAGGAAAAAAAAAGGTACCTCTGAAGACCAGGCAGCACTGCAACATCATGCAGAGCAGGCAAATCCTAAGGAGTCACTATTGCCTAGAACGATTGCCCATAAAATGCATAACCTGCTGTTGGGCTTGAGCTTTCTCCTCACCTTCACCTTTCACATGACACATGTGCTCACAGGTAGCCTACAGAGTCTCTCATCGTCTTGTTCATTCCTTCTGACCCAAGAAGACTTATTGTTGTTCTTATTTGCAGATGCTTTGCTTCTAGCATCTCCCTTGAGGGTCTTCCCAGAACCTGCTACATTTTACTAAGAAGCTTTCACAGCTTTCTGTGTAAACCTTCCTTCCCTTAACTTAATCAAGTAATAGTATTCCCCATGTTAGCTCTAGACCGTTCCTTATCCCCTTGACTTGCTCTTTATTTGGCTCCTCTGAAGTCCCCAGGATGGAGATGAATTCCCTCAGGGGAATTCGCTATCTAGCGTGAGCCCCAGTGTACATCCTGGCCAGCAATGATGGTCCCTAAGGTGGGGAGTGATCTTCATAATTCAGTGTATGCAATTCTGTCTCCACAGACATATTAACAGCAAAAATCTCACCAACCACATGGGCTAGGATTTCAATCATGTGGCAGCTCTTCCCTTTTGCTTTCCTCAGGTCATCTCAGCACAGCCCAACAAATGCTCAGCCTTGGCGCTGTCAGTGACTTCACAAAATTTATTCCATCCTGAAAGAGTGAAAACCCTGAAAGAGCCAGCATTTACTGCCTGGCTCAACGGAAGGGTTTCCCAGCAAAGCCCAGGCTCCAGGCAAAGCCATGTTGATGCTACCTGCACACCTTGGCTTCATCTTGCCGTTGTAGACAGGAAGGTGGTGTTGAGCTTTCGCCAATCCTGGCATTTAAGAAAGTTTGTTGCCCTGTTCCTTACTTTCTTTGCCCAAAGATAGTTTTATCTATATATCTATATATTTATATATCTATATAGCTATTTATCTATATATCTATAGACATATATAAAAATATATACTAATCTATATACCTATATACCTGTATTCTGTATTTCTATAGTCCTACATACTCCTACATGAAAGTTTATCAATATGGATTTTACAGTGGTGTGTATGGCAGCCTCGTAAAGCTGGGTAAAAGGAGAGATAAATGAACGCCGCAGCTTTCATTTTTGCCATTTTCAGTGTTATGCCCAAGGAAAAAATGAGAGCTTTTAAATCTTGTGACTGCACTGAGCACTATGGGGATTACCAGGCCTGTGGCTGGTGTTTTGAAAGCCAACCTCCTGTCATCTATGTGGCTTAGTGGCATTAGCAGCTCAGGTCTAGAGTGCCCCTTAGTACAATATTTGTATGTGTTTCCAGGGCAAAATCAAGAAGAATCAATGAATTTAGACTGCTAGAACACAGG